CTTCAAAATACATGTTGCTTGTCTGGTTGTCCTGCTCTATTTAGTGTTCTTTCTTTTTTATTAGCTGTTCGATATTAATATGTGCCTCTCTGAAAAATGTAAAATTAAACCGGGTACTGTGGTAAGAGGAGTGCTAGCTACAAGAAAACATTCTTAAACACTCAGTGGATTTGGTGGGGTTTCAGGGGGGTCTGAGCATTTCCAAGACCTTTAATTTCTGGAGTTTGTGAGACATCTTAACAGTAGGTGGAAAACTGGTCTTTTATCTGACAGGTCCATTGGTGAGAGAAGGAGGTGAGGATATATGTCTGTGGGTGGTGATTGGCAGGACTTTGGTAAGGCAATGATTGATCTGTATCAATCAAAATGGTGTTCAGTGCTGTAAGGGACTGAAAGAAGTAATGCCTCAAACATTAATCGACACAGAAAACCCTCAGGACAAGCTGTGGCCTTTGGATTGGTCTAAGGAATGTCACCCAAGGAAACAGGAGTATCGAAGGACGCACCCCCCACGCTCTTGCAGTGGCATTGACAAACTCCTTAGATAAACCTCAAAAGGGGAGAAACTGGACTGAGCAAAACCACGTGTTTCCCTGCTAAGCCCGATACTTTGTGGCTCTGTTGTGCAAGCCAGACACCATGCTTGCCTTGCTAATGACTTTGCACCTTAGCCATTGAAGTGGTGGCAAGAACTGATGAGAACTGATCATTTCTGGGATGACTGATAAGAAGCATGAAGTCAGCAAAATCTCTGGGAACAGAGGCAAACCCAAAGGTGGGCAGGGTGAGTGCTACCACTGACTCAGTTGGAACCACCATGCTCCACCTTTTTCCTCATCTCTCATGGAAATGAGTTTGTAGAACACCTGCCTCTCCTTGTCTCGTACGCTAATCGGCTGATAAGGTGAACTTAAAAGGGGACAGAATCTTTGCTGTGTGTGCACCCACCACCCACGGTTACTGGACATGAGACAACGCTGGATCCAGGGGTGATGATCTGAGTTTCTTTGACTCTTTCTCTCTTTTCTATTTCTTTCCTTTTCTTTCTTTTCTTTCTTATAGATTTATCGGGGATCGCATTTCTTATTATCTTTTTCCAAGTTTAAATTGTTTTCTAGAACAAGTAACACATTTTAACTGCTTGTTTGTCATTTCACCTTAATTTAACCCGTGGGGATGAGCAGAAACATTGTGACTCTCTGGGCTTCCCATCCAGGTCGTGACAAGCAGGGATCCATTTCTGTGCTGCAGTTTTTGTATGTGGATGTTTGTAGTCCACAGGCCAGTGGAAAGAATGTCCCTGACAGACCATAGGAAAGTCAGGATTTATAAAGAACCTTGCTGGTTCTTGTGAGGGGGTGTAGAAGCAAGAAGCCAGCGGTGATGACAGCTCTCATGCTCTTCTCATATTTTTTCATTTCAGCTTTTTACAGCTCTCTTTGGTTTGGTTCTGCAGTTACAGAGATCTTCCACTCAGTGAAACAAGCTTCTTGTGATCTAGCTGGCCTAATCTGGACAGAGGACATGGCACCCCTGACAGCTACTGGTGTCACTGCATCCAGCTCTGCCTCTGCTCCACTCCCTTGGCCCTTTCCCTGCTCTCCAAGATTATATAGCCTAAGATTTCAAATATAAATGGGAAATTTATGGCCTTAAAGGAGATATTGCATACAATCTAATGCAGAAAAAACCCCATAAATCTGCATTATAACGTTGCTCATTACATTTAATATCTTGATTTCACCATTGCCTTCTTCCCTGAACACTTTCTTCAGTTTATCTCTGGCTTCAAGTTATATCTTGTAAAGCTAGTTCAAACTGTAGATTCCCTCCACTAGTGTCCGACTTACCTTAATGTGTAGATATGGTGTTTATCATGATAGCGCTCAAGACTTAAAGCATTCTCTCATTACTAATTAACCACACCAAAATTGCCTCAATATCTTAGCACATTGTCTGGGGAATATTATACTCAATATAGAATTGTATAGAAAAGTTATAACCACTAATTAAATTGTATAGTACTCTTCCAAGAGGGATTTTTCAAGTACAACATAATCACTGTGGGAAAAATCCAGAGATGTAATATAAAACTTTCATCAAAACAGTGAAAAGGTAAGATGCAAAATATCCTTCAGAGCGCTAGTTCCAACATATTTTTGCCCATGAAAGTGTCTATGACTAAACCTACTTCCATTCAAAGGGCACTGATTTTGCATAATTCTGTATTCATGGGCATACATTTTAGAAGGACCTCCGTTTCAGGATTGTTCTCAGTTGTATTTCTCTTAATGGGTATCGAAAGCTACAAGAGGTTTGGATATGCTTATTATATTGCTTAAAGAAAACCACAAACACTGAACAACAAAGCTTTCTGCCCTACTTTATGATTTTGAGTCTCTGGGAGGACTCATGAGGACTGTTTGGATATTTTGTAAAAAATGGTTTAATAGATTAGATAAGTTTCTCCCTCCCAGTTAAAAATGACAAAAAAAGAGAGTTTGTGACACTGAGCCAAGTTCATTGATGTATAGAGCATAGCTAGTATCAGTCATTATTAAGGTGCTGGTTATACTGTGTGTTTTCTCACAAACACGATTACAGGAACCTAATTTGCATTGCTAAACAAATGCTAAAAACATCAAAACTTTTTTTTTTCCATGCTGGTCAGAGAGTAGTTGATCCAATCACTAAAATACAGATAAACAGAAGTAGCTACTCTGATGGAAGCTAAGATGCTTAAGCACAATATATTAGCTATTAGCTACTAGCTACTATAGAAATTAGCAATTTAGCTACTAGTATGCTCTCCAGAAGAAGAGCCACAAAACCCTTTTGAAAAATCACACCAATCTATTGTGGAGGTTTTTGCATGACACCAGAAGGATCTATAAAAGCTTTACATTATTCCTCATTCAAAATTTACCACTGGGCCTGTTGGCAGCATGTGCTAAGGGACTGAACTGCAACTGCTGTGTAGGAAAATATAATTTCTGCTTTTCCTAACAAGGCTGATGATTTTGGCTTCAGCAGCTGCTATAAATTGTTGTTCTTTCTGCTGTACAAGAAGGCAGAGCCTGAGCAGGGCAGCACTGCAAATGGGTAGGGTCTTGTCTTTGCTCGCTTCTTATTCAGAGCCTGCTTAGATTAACTTATTTAGCCACAGAAATCTGGGCCAGATATAGAAATAATGAGGATTATTTCCAGGACAGTGTCTCATTCCAGGTCTCCTCCTGAGGCAGATGCTATAGCAGTGGAAGTTCAAGAGGATACCTGTGGTTTTTTAATTAAATGCACTTTGAACATCTCCTTGCTTTCCAACTCCTACCAAAACTGTAAATGTACCTGTCCAAAACTTCTAAACTTCTCCTATGTTGGCAAACACTTTTTTTCCTAGCAGAAGTGTTGGCATAGCTACCCAACTGGAGAACACAAAAATGTTTTGGGTCTTTTTCAGCCAACCACAGTTCCTCAATACATCCAATACACCAATATTTAGCTTTAGTTTAAACTGTCAGAAATCAGTTGAAATTTTTGTCAGATATTTCTGCAAGCAGAAAACATCTAAATGAATGGAATGGATGGATGGATTCATGCCTGGTATGTCCTTTGATGTTATTCTGATTAGTGTGCCAAGATCTATAACCAATCCTCCCTCCCACCTCCCCAAATCTACAAAAAAAATCTGGAAATATTTCATTAATCATTTTTGTCAAGAGTACAGATGAAAGGAGCCATTTGTATTTTATGACAGTTGGGAATTAAACATTTAGAGTACAGTGCCAATATTTAATACACAATGTAGAAGAAGCAAACTGAACAGAAGGTAAATCTGGCAGAGTTTAACGTGGAATGATGCTGTGGGAATGTGCATGTGTGATCAGAACTGTAACACCACAGAGCAAGTGGCATTGCAATAAAATGTAGCAGCAAACTGCTTTTCCAGCTGTGTTAGACTTCCTTCCCTCTTCCCTGGAACAGAAATGTGAAAAACTACTTTACCCTTGAAATGACTTGGAGAAACCAGATGAGACTTTGGGAATTAAGATCACTGGTTGCTTTTGCAAGACAATAAAGCTTATTAGAATAAAGGAGTCCCAAGGGGTTTCTTTTGGTTTTATGATTGCCCCACTTTTTTCCCGCCCCCCCCCC